GCAGAGATTTTCACAAATTTGCCAACTGTACGTCTTAGTAGCCTTCGTTCAACTTTACCCTCTCACATTCCCCTCTAATTATAACTGTAACTTTATGTGATATTTCAGCTGGTACGTAATGCCGTTTTCTACCAGTATTCACATATTAAAAATCACATTAATTAATGCTCCTGATACACCAGGCTTGCGCCTGCTTGGAGAAAGAATTTTGGTCCACTCTAAAAAATACATGCATGTTATTATAGCAAAAGCTACGATTTTTTAATTTAATTATGACTGCGAGCGCAAGCCCGATACATCAACACTTAAACAAATCCTACAACTCTCGTGTTACAGTTTCTAAGATTTAACAAGTTTTTAATTAACTAATTAATTAATTTTTTTGTGAATACTGCCTGAATGGCGGAGAAACTGAACGCTTGTATTTTCATTCATTTAAGTCTTTGGCATATGCAACGGCATCGGGGCAGGAACGAAGAGCATAGGCATGAATGTACGATCCCTTAGTGGCAGTACCGAGAATCACGCGGGATGGAACGCGAGAAGTCGAGTCATCATTGCAGAAGTTGAAGGCAGCCCCGGTACAGGTAGGTGTTCGTAGAGTGTACAAAATGACTCGGATGACATGGTGATTTTTCAGTCATTATGTTGTAAAATATTTAACTTTGTGTTCATGCAGAAATCATCCTTAGTACTGGTATATACATGAATAGGTCAGTAGTTGTTGCCATGTATGCATTTCCTCACTGTGGCTTACTCCATTGAAACTAAATGATATTGCCATCGTCAACTCCAGAAACGTAAAAAAAAGAAAAAAAACTGACCAACTCAGTGTAAGAAAAGCAAGAATGGAAAAAATGATGAAGCGATATGTATCTAAACTCCGACATTTCTGAACTGGGCTCATGTGAGAACTGGCGAGGATTGTGAATCAACTTCTAAATGCTACGCTTATGCTCTAGTTGGGCCGCTGCTCAGTTTTGTTTTCCATTATGTTTGGAAGTCTCGACAGGATGGCGTATCTTCGCCCATTTCAGTTGATCAGAATCATGTACATGTAGGCCTACATGTACAGTGTATACGTGGATGGAGGGTAACATATGCACGCATAGCTAATATATGGCCATGGTTATTTTATTATTCCAGCCACATGTGACTCACTGACTGCCTTCAACATTCAGCATTTTGCCACCGATTACTACGCCGGAACAAGGAGTGAAAATGCTCACTGGGTAAGTGATGTTATGGAAAGAGTAAACACTCCGAATATATATTTTTTTCTTGTAGTGGAATGTCCATTCTAAAGCTGACAAGGAATATCTTATACGTAATGTAACGAAACGGGCTTTGGCCAATTTTCATTAGCAAATTTAGCCTTAAAGTTCTTAAATATTAAAACCGTGACTGCTCTCACTCTCACTGTTGTCTTCATGTAGACAAACTCGTACGTGAAGCGTGCCGGGGACACCTCCCTGCGCCTGCGCTTTAGCGGCAATCTCTATGAGCACGGCAACGGCCACTGCTCTCGGTGGTACTTCAAGTTCAACGGAGCAGAGTGCTCAAATCCTGGAACTCTGGAATTTGCCTTTTACCTCGACGGGGATTCCGGAGCCAATACGCACAGAGGGTTTGCGTGTATGTACATGCATGTATATATCTACCTACCTGTCTGTCTGTCTGTATGTCTGTCTGTCTGTCTGTCAGTGTGTTTGTCCCTTCATCCTTTATTTCATTCACAACCTTGCAAGCATATAAACCAATGCAATGTTCAGCAATATTTTTGTTAAGTGGAACATAGAATGTTCTTTGAATGGCAGTTATATGTACTGTCACCTCACTGTATTTGATAATAATCAAAGCTGTTGGGCTGTGCTCCATTAACGAAAGTGTTTTGTACTGTTTCATACCACATTCTTTTTTTAAAAAATTATACTCTGTTAGAAATTGAGAAAATATATCACATAAGAAATCTGTTTTAATTTTCCACAGTTGACGCTATCTGCAATGGAATCTCGGCAGGGACAATCTCAATCACACTTCATGTGGGAACATGCAGATCAGGGCATGGTGTCAACAACCCTCACACTGGTTGGAACATGAAGACACATCTGATAGTAGAGGAGACCAGGCTGGGGCAAGATATCAGTGCAGGTCAGTGAAATATATATGTAGCAGTAGCAGTAGGAACTGTAGTACTAGCAATACATTGTGGTAGTAGTTGTAGCAGCAGCAGCAGTAGGAGTAGCAGTAAAAGTGGTAGTATTAGGAGGTCTACATGTATATGTAGTAGTAATCGCTCTGGAAAGCATGGTGTTGAACAGATGATCTCGGCAGTCCTTCAAGCCATCTTCCTGGGTTTCCGACGCGCTACTAATATGTCGAACTGGTCAAAACACTCACAAAAGCCTTGCGATCAGCGACCATCTCAAAAGATGTCATCAGGTCATATTGAAGTCACACGATTTAAGTCATTGTCAAATGCGTCCGTTGACGAGATTAGAGTCGGCCAATTTAAGACCTCCTTCCAAGTGGTTACACCCCTGTATAAGCAGAGTGCTTATATTATAAGATACTGAATGTTAATACTATTGTAATACTAAAATTCAGTGTACTGTATTTAATCACACATTGGCGGTTACAACGTGGGACACACAGCAAGATTGGTGTTTTTTTTTTTTTTTTTCAGTTCTGGGAACCGACGGGTCATTGGTTCGCCTGCCCATATTCAACCGTGTTCAGTCTTATTGGTACAATATTTATAACGGAGACGACACCAACTCCAACCTTGTGGTAACGTATATACTACTCGTCAGTAAATATATCATATAAATCAGAGTGAAGGTTAAACTTGAATATTACGCTCAATTCTCCGTTGTGGGTTTTGCTACCCTTGTGTATCTTTGTGCTAGTCTATCCTCGTGCTTAATGCTGTCTTTTTTGTTTTGCTAGTTTACGTATTAGGCTACATGTGTGCTTAATCATTTCAGTCGGTGTCGTACACCAAGAAGTCAGCGGTCAGTTCGCTCCATGTTGTGTGGTCCCTTAACCTAAGGGTGTACATCGACGGACATTGTGCCCGCTGGTACGTCGCGTTCAATGGAGCAGAATGTTCTGACCCCGGGAATATAGAGAGCGTCTTATACGAAGATGACATCAGTGGCAACTCAAATTCTAACTGGCACCAACCGGGCACGGGTAAGTTAATACAGAGGGAAAGGTATGCATTATATATATATATATATATGTCACACACCATACCTGTAGCTATGTGGTCTATGTAGCTACGTTGTAGCAAACGTAACGTGTAGATTTGCAGGGTTTATACACTACACTGTTTATACTCCAACTATAGTCTTGGATACATATTTACCACGGTTTTATCTTTTGTTATACATCAATTTATTTATTTATTTATTTATTTATTATTAGTCAAGTAAATAAAAATGAAAATATTTTTGTAATCTTATGTTCGGAGAGTTTTGTTATATAACGCGGTGCACTTGGCAATATGTTGACTTCCCAACTCCAACCTGGCTTTTCTGCATGGAAATGACTACAAACATGATGTTTTGTTATATAACAAAAATCTTACGATCGCGATAAATAATGAAAAAAAACCCCGTTCCTTATGTAAGATCACATTTTTAAGTATGGAAAAACATATGACCACTACATAGAACCATAATAAAACTATAAAGTCCTACTCTATTTCCAGTCGAAGGTATCTGCCATGGTTTGAGTGCCGGGAGTATCACCGTCAGTCTAGCTGTTGGGAACTGTGGTGGCTACAGCCCTGGCGATGCTTTTACTGGCTGGGAATCTGGTTCCTTCGCAATAGTAGAAGAGGTTTTTATGGGGGCATAATTGATGGATATGGGAGAGAACACATTGGGATTCTCATTCAGTGGAATTTTGAACTGGACCTAGCTACGTGTACATGTACATGTATATATTAACAGAGGGGAAAATTTGGACACCTTTTGACTTGTGCTTAGCACAATCTGTGACAATATGGCACCAAGACTCCCAGGGTGCCCGTAATTTCAGAACAATCCCACAAGTTGTATAGTTTTTCAATAGGAGGATTCTTGGATTATGTTTAAAATCATATATCTTATGAACTGCGTGTATGCACTTTTATCTTAAAAGATAAAAACCACAGCATTCGGGGGCATGGTGTTGACTGCTGCTCTTATTCCATAGCTGCCTCGGATGAGAAAATTATAATGAAAGCGCTAAAGATAGAAAATACCATGCATAAATACACAAGACAATAATGTTATTAATTATGAACTTACAGTAAATGGATATATGCAGTATATGTTTTACTCGTGAGGAGTAAACCGAATTGAGACGCATTAAACGCATCAAAGTTTCTATATATTGATTTTTGGAACGATTTCCTCTAAGCTACTTTGTACAACTGAACGAACACAGAAAAAGGGATTAAAACTTCCATGAGCGCATTATGTAACATGTGTATAGATTCCTTCTCAGTCAATTCTTTCTGAATATTAATGAATGTATAAACAATAGACACTGGGATGGTTATGTCACCACATAAAATATGCATTATAGGCACACAAATTCAGTTGATGTATTGGTATGTAGGGCAAATGGTACCGTTAATTTCTGTTGCAAATATAATGTTTTATTCATTGACTTGCAAAGTACTTTGTTAAATGTTGAACAAAATTCACGCTCTGATGACGACCACCCTATTTGAACCAGTCTAGCCGTCTCTTATAATATCGATTGGATTGGGTACCTTTAATTATTGTTATTGTAAAAAGATATGACACAAAACGCTGAGCGGATATACCGACGAGTCGTGTGTGTTGGATTCTGGCGCATGCCTGATAAAAATCTTCAATTTTCGAACGGTCCTTGATTAACCATCCCTTAAAGTGTGAGCCGTCTCCTGTGTACCGCGGTCCCATCAGCTAAAGGGCGACGTGTAGATACCACAAAACCGTTGCAGTTGTAGGTCGCCAAACAAAATGAAGATGGGATGTGAAATAATCGTAATTGTAGCCAGTCTCCTCCTGTCATCGCTGTCGTTTGTCACAGCTACCGAGACCGTTGACATCTGTTCAACGAACTTGGCCGATGGGAACAAGTACAACGTCTCATTTGTGTCCGCAGACTACGAGCCGGCATTTTCTATGGACGCAGTGGAAAGCCGCAGCAATCTCGAATGCATTTTGATTTGTAAAAGGCAATCTCGTTGCAGATCGGCATATTACGACAAAGGGAACAAGACGTGTCATCTGGTTGATGTATCGCAGTCGACCACTGGCTATACCACTGCCTCTGCAGAGGCTGCAGGATGTGTGACCAACGTCGCGCCGAGTATTGTAAGTACATGTTCAGGCCTTAGTTTCACAAGAAAAAAAACTTAAGTCAGTTACCTAGCTTAGTTGACTAGGATTTCCATGAGAGTGCTGTTACACTTCTCCTGATAGGGTATGATGTGACAATGTAATCTTGGTAATTAAGTTCTTAGCCAGGGAACCTGACTTGAGTTTTTTTGTGAAACCGGGGTTAGTTTGTAATAAAACAGAAATACCTTTTCACTATTTTCTCGTGACCTAGGTGCTCTTTTCGACATAGGAACTCGTGGGTGAGTATTGCCTCTGTTGTATGCTTGCTCATTTTTCAGCATGTAGAGCAAAAACAAACAAACAAACAAAAAAAATTAATCAACCCCTCGGATACTTGAGTGAATACATTTTTGCTAAACTTTAATGCAGAATGCAAGTTGTTCCTTATTACTGAAATGTATGTTGGGTGAGTTTTGGGATCGCCTACAGTTACGATGCACATTTGAAAGTCTTGGAGGAGTCTGTCCAAAAACAAATGTACATTAAAGTAACAATCCATAAGAAAGATTTCATAAAGCTACATGTATCTTGTAAGGTTGTTAATGCGCGTTGCCAACCATTTTTTTTCCCTCAAAATAATCAATATGCTAATTGAAGTTATAGATCTAGTGCGTCACCGACCACTTGACTGTGAACGCCATTTACATCCAGATCTATCGTAAAGGGCACATTTAAAGCTCCAAATCTACATAGCACTGATTTGTTTTTTGGGAAGTTTCTATCTTTAGTTAGGCAAATTAACTGATGATCTATATCGTTCCAACTATTTTCTTTTTATTCATCTAAGATATATAATGAAATGTGCAATAAAGAATCATTGCAAGGTTATATATTTGGAAACCTGACTATTTGATATCCATAATTATCTTGATATATATTATAACAATATCAAAAATAAAAATAATGCCCGAAAACAACTGAAATCAATACAAAGAAAGAAAAAGATACCCCCAGTAGATTTAGAGCCTTAATTGAAATTGTTCGGGAATCAAGCTTTCATTTCTGATGTTACCTCTCTTACTGGCGTCCTGGCTCGTCTTAAATCAATTGATTCAATTAACGTCATTTGCACAAGTCGGCATATATTACAGGCATGTGGATTAATTTATTGTTTACAAGCATTGATTTGGGTTAGGTAAGAAGATTATTATCTTAAGACATATCCCCAGCTTCTCCTTTCCAACGACAGTATCTGTCCGTCTCTCTCTCTCTCTCTCTCTCTCTCTCTCTCTATATATATATATATATATAGAGAGAGAGAGAGAGAGAGAGAGAGAGCAAATTTAGTCATTGATCGTCTGACTTCAGGTGGACCTTAACTTTGAAAGCACCTTTTCGGAATGCAGCGCATCTCCGTGTGCCGTGGCCGGAACATGTCGTGGAGACTGTGTGAACAGCGAGGCTGTCTGTATTGGTAAGTTTTCAATGTATTTTTACAGTGTACTACTATATTAATGCTCAGAATCACAGTTCATAGTTTGAGCAGTGAAGGGATTGAGGGAAAAGGGCCAGATGACTTATTTTGAATTAATTGATATGGAAACTCGAAGTTTAGTATGGGACACTCATATATTATGTTTGTTTTCAATTTTTCCGAAAGCCGGTTGAGGCTTACATGGTAGTTATGTGCTTAAACTTCCCTCAGCAACCACTAGATAATCAAATATGCATATTTAAATGCCACATTATTTGTTTCAATTCACAGAGCTGTAACAGTTTCAATAACAGTACAAGTATTTGCCACATTTAGAATATTAGAACCCATTTTTACATTGTGTAAAATCACGCCTATCTACCAATAGTAACATTATTTACCGATAGGTGACGGTACGGACTGTGACGAAGTTCCGTTATCCAATGTGTACCAGTGGTCAACTACCTCAGCTTGGGGCACCGACTCTGGTCAGTTGTTTGTAAGTATGGATAATTTATTGTCCATGGGTATCCAATTAAGGGCTGATTAAGAGAGCATGAGATCATTTGCTGTCAAAAGTTATTATGAACATTTAGGAAACCTTGGTATTAAGAATTGAGTATATATCGTCTCCCTTATCTTTATTTTTGAGACCTTTGGATTTTGTTTCTTTATTGAGTTCTGTCTGTATTTTCATTTTTTTTTGTATTAAAACCTGGTTACACCGTATATGTTATCTACCTGAACCGCTATCAAATAACATATAATACAATTAAATTTATTCAAGGTGGACGGTCAATGTAATGATATACGGTACATATCGGTTTCCTTTGAAAACCAAAGAAGTTTTGTATGCATTTCACAATAACCATAGCTACATTTAACATGGTATTTACGAAAAAAACATAATCAACAAAGGCCAAGTGTTTTTCAGAATATTTTGTAATAAATGTGATATTTCTATTTCAGACCATTTCTTACACCAAAAATAGTGCGACCACTGGTTTGTATTTACAGTGGGTCGGCACCTTGAGGTCGGCGTACAACTGCGGAGGCTGCGCGGCACAGTATTACTTCACCATTGACAACGCAGAGTGTTCCAACCCCTACGCCATCGATTGGTCCGAATACCACCCCAGTGGCAGAGATTTTCTCAAAATTGCCAACTGTAAGCATCAAAAGAGTGTTTATTCTCATCTTTCTTACCCCACCCTTTATGACCTTTTAGCATTTAAAATATTTAGTATGTGGAAATAGTGTTTCAAATGTAAAGAAAATACACTGTACGTTCACAGTAAGAACGATCTTGGCATAGAAATAAAGAAAAATACATCTTATATGACAGATGTTATTTGATCAAAGCTTTGTAAATGACCAATCATATATCTAGTTATCGGTAATAGTGATCGACAGTAAAACACAGGTTTACTACACAGAATACCGCATATTTTTTTCTGACAAATAACATTCTTAGAACTCCCTATACTAAGCAATAAAACATTCATATTTTTCACTCGTTTCAGTTTTTGGTATATGCTACGGTATTGGTGCAGGATCGAAGACCATAGGTTTTAATGTACGCCACGTAAGTGGCAGTGGCGACCATTACGCGGGATGGAACGCGAGATCTCGTGTCATCATAGCAGAAGTAGAGGGCACCCCCGGCACAAGTAAGATGTTCGTTAAATATACATAAGAACCGCCTAGGTTTCTTCACTTGTTATATGGGGGAGCAATTATTGTTTTACACTATTTCGATGTCTGTCCAGTAAATTTATTTATGGGGCTATACGCATGGATCTGTTCTCGTGCCATTCACCGTCAAATATTGCTGGAATCGCAACGCTTCTGTAGCCACCAACGTCAAAAGTTAAAAATTGAATCTTCAAGTTTCCTCTTTGAAATCAAATACCAAGAAACAAGTTTTTAGCAGTCCAGCATTTGAAATAGAGTCTAAATCTGGCAACCATTGCATTTGGACCGCTGTTAGTCTGGCTTCTAGTTTTACTAATATCTGCAGGCTATATAAATCAACGGGTGGATGTTCAATTAGCTTCAGCATGGATCTAGACGTACAAGGTGCGGGAACTAGGTGAAGTACATGCTAGTAGCTGTAGTAGTGATTAGATACATGTAGGTAGGAACTAGTACATGTATTGTACCATGTGCAGGGAGTTAAGATAGGACAGCACCATCGCGTGAGTGGATGTAATGGGTGGCATTGCTTAATACATTAGAGGTTAAATGCTGGCACACATTTGACCATATTTATTTTGTTTACTTTCTAGCCACCTGTGACTCGCTGACTGCCTTTAACCTTCAGCATTTTGCTACCGATTACTACGCCGGCACAAGAAGTGAAAATGCTCACTGGGTAAGTGATGTTTTGTAAGTTTATGTGCTCCAAAGTAAGTGATGTTACAGAAATAATATATGCTGAAATAAATTCCCTGGTATATTGTTACCTGGATAGTTAGAAATATAATAGTCTACATTTCTGTTCTGGAACATGTACAACATATGCTGAGAATTATTCAACGAATACAAACCCGTTTAAATCAATTGTTGTTGTTGTTGCTTTTAAGAAAAATGGTCCTAGATGCATTGTATCTGAACCCTTTCTGAGCTCAACCTAACTTTTGTCTTCGTTTAGACAAATTCGTACGTGAAGCGTGCAAGTGACACCTCCCTGCGCCTGCGCTTTAGCGGCAATCTCTATGAGCACGGCAACGGGTACTGCTCCCGTTGGTACTTCAAGTTCAACGGAGCAGAGTGCTCAAATCCTGGAACTCTGGAATTTATCTTCTACCTTCACGGGGATACCGGAGCCAATACGCACAGAGGTTATTCGTGTGAGTGCTCTTTCTATATTAAGTTCATTTATAATCTAGACATTTATTTGTCGGGACCACGGTATGTTACGGAACGTTACTGACCCTAATTCGATTAATAATGTCAATCACGATACCGATGTTTTCAAGAAAACTTTTTTGGTTTTTATTTAAAGGAAAATAGAAACACTCGTGGAGCACAGACCTCCGTCAATGACTGAACACTATTCTATTGTGGCAGTTGAGAGCACGCACATTCACTACACAACTGGTCAAAGTCTGTGGCCCTATCTCACAATAGTGAAACTGCTTTACACGTTTTTTGATTCTATGGTGATCCGACTCACGGATCGCAACAAAAACTTAATCGCATTTAAGTTTGAGGTGCTATTCTGACCTATCCTAAAACATCATCAAAATCAGTCATAGCGTTTCGAACTAGGCTGATGACAAACAAATCATCCAACAAACAAACAACCGAAACAAACAGGCAGACATACTGGCAAACGTATGTGAAAACACAGACTTCTTGGCGGAGGTGGTTATGATGTACATATAGGTTAAGTTGAAACTCTCATTTTCATCATATTAAAATTTTTGAAATTCAGTTAACGGAATCTGCCATGGGCTCTCGGCGGGGACAATCTCAATCACACTTCATGTGGGGGCATGCAGGTCAGGGCATGGTGTCAACAACCCTCACACTGGTTGGAACATGAAGACACATCTGATGGTAGAAGAGACTAGGCTGGGACAAGATATCAGTGCAAGTCAGTGAAATACGTTGTGCTAGTGGTATTGTGTATACATGTGTAACAAGATGTACATATGGTCCGTGTAGTAATAAGTAGTAAAAGCAGTGGCAGTAAAAGTACGCCTTACACCCCATTTCCATAGATTTTTAGATCGATCTATCCCTGTGGGGAGTCTCACTATATTACTGTCAGCTTGGCCGGCATAAGCGTCTGTCCTGCCTACTAAAAGCTGTAAGGGGGTAATTAACTATGGTGCTGACTGCAATTTAGCGTGAACCCCATCTAAATCTCTGGGAAAGCACCCTTAGTAGAAGTAGGCCTATTAGTAGTAGTAGTAGTAGTAGTAGTAGTAGTAGTAGTAGTAGTAGTAGTGCACTTAGTAGCAGTAGCAGTATGGGAAGAAGTAGTAGCAGGAGAAAAAGGAGCAGTTCGTTTATAGAAGAAGCAGTAACTGTAGTTGTCGTCAAAAATACATCAGTTTTAACCTTTAAAATAGTAGCAACGTTCACAGTAGCTGCAAGTGTAGTGAAGCTAACTAGTACTGTATTTGTAAATGTAGTAGCTTGTACATGCAGTAAGGGTAGGTTGGACATTCATATTGTTCTCTTATTACAACAGTAAAGCGTCTACTCATAAGCAGCTGCATGGTTGATCACATACATCGAATATGGTTTTCATTTCAGTTGTGTCAAATGACGGGTCATTGGTCCGCTTGGCTGTGTTTAACCGTGTACAGTCCTACTGGCATCACATCAACGATCACGACGATGTCGACTCCAACATTGCGGTAACTGTCGCTTGAATGAGTGACACGTGGATTTGCGTTAATTGAGCTTCATCATGATTTATATATTAATTGCATTATGGAAAGCCTTCCTGTTAGTTTATATAATAGAGACCTTTTGCAGCTCTAATGAATCTTATTAAAGATAAAGTTGAATTGCGCCAAGCCTTTGTTTCAAAAGTAACAATATTAATCAAATAGTCTTAAACACGTTTTCAAAGCTGCAAATCCTGAATAAGTAAAGCGTTTAGTACTGATAAGTGCACAAAAATCGTGACATAAAATACGAAACCCACCAATCGCAGCTGTTAAACTTGACAGTGCGAGAGACCTCTTATATTCAACGGCAGTTATCAATGTATTCAAAGAACACATATCATTTCCGTATGTTAACGTCTGGTAAAGTATACAAGACTGTTAGGCGTTTTCAGGCAAGCGTGTGTTTGTACGTGCGTGTGAGTGTGTAAAATCATCCGCGTGCGTCAATTTAATTCCATCTGAACGTATTTGTGTTCAGATATCTAATTCATCCACTTTGCTTCCTTTGCGGATTTTTTTCCTTATAGGTCTTATAGGACGTCCTTTAGAAAATTGGCTAGAAATCCTATAGGGCCCCACAATGCCTTGTGTCTTATAAGATTCTATAAAGTCCTATAGAGTTCCATGGGAGGTCCAAAACGAAATCTACGTTAAAGTTACTCTTTAAAAGGATTTGTATATTTTTCCAGTCAATATCGTACACCAAGAAGTCAGCGATCAGTTCGCTCCATGTTGTCTGGTCCATTAATTCAAGGGTCTATCACGACGCCCAGTGTTCCCGTTGGTTCGTGACTTTCAATGGAGCAGAATGCTCAGATCCGGGAAATATAGAGAGTGTCATATACGAAGACGATGTTAGTGGCAACTCACACTCAGATTGGTATCAGCCTAACATGAGTAAGTTTCTTTATAGTCTCATTTTTTGAAAAAAATCTGTGAATATTCATTCATTCATTCATTCATTCATTCATTGTGCAAACCATATCTGGCAGATTTTGTTTCAGTTTAAATTTACTATCCGTTTTATTGCAGAGTTTTCGCATCACTATATAAGGCTTACCGTAGCAAAATCATTCCGCATTTTATCACATTTTGCTTATATTCCTGTACCGTTATCTCCATAATTGGGGGGTTTACATGCAAAAATACAAGCTACGTTAAAAATGTCACAATTTGTTATTTTAAAGTGATTAAATATCTCGTTTACAAATCTCACCACATGCAGTTTAAAATATTGTTATTTCATTTCACGGAGCGTCTTCTCTAACAATAAATATGAGCAACACCGTTGCGGTTATATTTTCTCTAATACAAAATACTTGGTTATGTACTGTGTAAAGATTTCCCAATACAGTTACCCATTTTCTTGTGGAATTGGAGTGATTCATAAAGCTTTAAGTTTCTTTTGTGTTGCTTTGACTGACCGCTAACCTTATGGTCAGAGAGTCCGGTGTCTTGTTCCAGAAAGTCGCCCATGACGAAGAGTCCAGAACAGCGAATTATTCTAGAAACCAGGAGTTCTGCGGAACGTTGGCTCTGTGTTGCTTGACACGGGAAGCGGAAGACGGCGATTCGACTCCATCCGGGGACATACACAGTTCTAACTGTTTGTGTTTTTTTCTATTTCCAGTCGAAGGTATCTGCCATGGTTTGAGTGCCGGAAGTATCAGCGTCAATCTAGCTGTCGGGTATTGTGGTGGCTACGGCGCTGGCGATGCACATTCTGGCTGGCAATCTGGCACCTTTGCTATGGTGGAAGAGGTCTTTATGGGAGCATGATTGATGGATATACGATACAGCACGGATCGAACTTTACGCAATTAAAGACAAACGGAAATATGAAAATAAGACTCACTCTGCTACACGTACATAAGATGATGGAAATTTGTGAATTTCAATTGGATTTTAGTGGTCATTCTTGTTGATGCAGTGATTTTATCATGTTTGTCTTTGTCTAAGGCTCTGACAGTTTTAGTTTGGATGTCAAGTATTGACACTTGGAGGTTAAGCGGTGCATAAGGCGTCGGATTTTTTATTTATTTATAAGTCTAACGGAACAATTTCAGAATCCTCTAAGGTTGTTTTTTTTTCTGTAAAAGCACCTTTATTTTAGATGACGATTACACCGTATTATTAATTTATGGATCATATGTTGTTTCCAGCTCGTTCGAAATATCTCATATCTCTAGATAAGTGACAAGGTATGCAATCCACGTGTACCGCTCCTGTCAATTTAAAGATTGGTTTAATCAAAATAAAGAAATAAAATACTATCAGTGTTATTTAACTGTGATATTTGGCTGTTTTTAAGCAGATTTTAGATCACATGAGGTGGGGTACAACCCCCAACTAATATCATGCTTGGGCGTTTATATTCAGACTCGAGGGAGGGGGGTCGGTTTGTGAGAGGGGCCGTCTTCACCGCCGTTTATTTCAGGGGCACATTGGGGTATACGTTTGGCTTAAAGAAAGCCCCCTTCTTCCCCCTCTTTTTGTGCTTAGGACTGAAGTTTTTGAACAACTGTGTCGGGATTTGGAGGGGTGGGGGTCAATTGCGTGTAAGGCCCATCCCACGTAGGGTTCATCCCCAATGAAACTATCGTCCTACGTAGATCGATCCTACTCGACGGGCACTCCCGCTGAAAGCAATCAGATTAACAAATTAACACGCCCCCCCCCCCCCCCCCCCATTTTGGCGTTGAGTAGAATAGAGATAAAAGCTGGTGGTTATACGAGAACGTTGCAGAAAGAGACGAGGTCTTTTTTTAAAATCTGCTGATGTCATTGCATTCAGCGAGAGTCCCCGCGGAGTTGGGTTTATCTACGCTACGATAGTTTCACTGGGAAACACCCCAATGACCTGCAAAGTATTGCCGTCGGTTACAAGCGCTGTCGATTGGAGGCACTCTTAGGTAGTAAAGGTATTGTATTGTCGGATTTTAGTAACTGCATAAAAAATCGATCAGTAATAAGAAATATGAGAAGGCGTATTATTCAGACTTCTGTCACTTTTCAGAGAAAGGACCTGTTTAACTTGTTCGGTGTTGGCTGGGCATCAGATTGTAAGACTCTTTTACAATCTGGACTGAAACCTAGTGTTGAAATAAACAAGCCTTCATTTCAGCCAAATGATAGTTTATCTTTTTTATTACGAAATTAATATCTATTATAATACATAACATTCTAAAGCAACTTACTTGTGCGTAGGACTGAGCTAGAAACGTAGGACGGTGCAGCAGGAAGTAGACATATCTAACTATATACCATGGCAAAGGGCACAGTTGTCCAGTAATCAAGAGAGAATACATTTCAAATTACATGTGTCAAGAACGAATAGTTTTGTATCAGAAAGAAAAAAAAAACACGTGAAAAATTAGATGAGATTAACATATCCTATTACATGTAAATCATTATCAGCCACTAGTGTCTCCTAGCTATAACAAAGTGAATCTTACTATTACCAAAGAACAGGGTATAACAACCTGGTCACAATCGTACATGCACAAGCTATGATCCGGTATGTCGACGAACAAAGACAATGGAATATATATTCTGATTTACATACAAGAATGGACAAAAATAGCTAAGATACATTAAAGGATAGTTACATATATATTTCTATCACAAGATTAATAATTATAACAAAAAATTATTCTTATAAGGGACATTCCATTTAAACAGCGCTATGTGCAGTATAATTTAAGGCCTAAAATTACAGTTAATTAAGATCTAAAAATGACAAATTGAAATCTAAAATGACAAACTAAGAGATACGTATTACAAAATAAATTACGTACTGGAGTCCTACAAATATGATTCTAAGGGTAACTGGTGAAAATTACAAAATTAAACATATTTTGGTTCTTGTTTTGTGACTGCCTCAAGAACTAACCATAAAGTGTTAACAAAATTCTCATAACAGTAACGTTTATAAATAATTATAACTAATTTTTATAACAAATATAAAGTATTTAGTCAATAATATTATGCTTCACTTATCACCTTGAAAAAAAAAATATATATATATAGTTATATATATAGTTATATATATATATATATATATATATATATATATATATATAACTCGCAGTCAACTAAGGTGTTCTATACAGTTATGCATGCATGTATATCCTGGATAACTTAAACACGGTTGTCAGTGGAAAACAGAATTTGTGACCTTTTATTTCTCAGAAACATTTCAAATAAATGTTTTGAAGTGTTTTCATTTATAAATTATTCTTCGAAATTACGAACAATATTTTGCTTCGAGAATGCTAATGCACGTAGATAATCTTTAATCTGGGGCAGGCGGCTTTGAGATACCAAGATTCCCATATTTCTGACGGTCTGAGGCGACCCCTTCCTCTTGGAGACACTTATACTAGTGCATCTCATTCAATGGATGGACTCTGTTGTGAAGTGATCTACAATCGCAACTGCAGTTTCCGGGAAGAAACATCGTTGACATTTCTTTACGAAAACCGCTATGTGTGGCCAAGTAAATTGGCAGATTGACGCAATTATTGGCGCTCTTAATACTGTAAAAAATGATAGCAAGATTCTGTATAACATCGTCGCGCATTAACCCTAACGCTCCCATCATAACCGCTACTGCATGTGGGAGACACAGGGTGAGCATTGCTATGGTGTTTACTGAAACAGCCACGCTGACTGCATTCTGCTTTTGTTGTGATGTTGAAGAAAGAGGTGGCTGATTATTGCGGGAACAGACCGAACGGAGGAGAGAGATGGCGGAAAACAGTTGCAGCACCAATGGCAGACAAGTGCAAAGTATTTCAATTGGCACTGCCCAGATACGCATCTCTACTCGATGTACGGTAGTGAGATATCGAGGGACCGCCATAACAATAGCGCTTATCAGGCCTAAAGCAGGGACGGCTATTTTGTTCATCAAGTTTATCTGCTTCTTGCGAGAATACACCTTTACAGGGTGGGTTATGACGAGAGCCCGAAACACCGACATGTATGTTAAAACGAGAAAAGAAAGATAACTGCAAATGCCCGCCAAACAATTACTGACGCATAGAACATCATCGTAATATTCACCAAGTCGGTAAAGGTTATGAGACAAGAGAGAGACAAAATGAAACGGAAAAAGACATATCTCCTACATCAGATCAACCGCAGAAAGAACAATAAAAAGACCTAGAAAATTCGTGTCCTTCTTTGCCTTTAGTCGAATCCAGATAATCATGTTAATCAAATTGGTTACAACCGACCAAGCCCTAACAACATAACTGATGTAAATTAGTTTCCGATTCGACGCAGAAACCAGAGATAATGATTTGTATCTACAGTCCCACCGTAAACGAGAAAACATAGACAGACCTTTCGACAAACGTGGTCTTTTTTCGTGGTGCAATCCCTTTCCATTCAAACGCGTTTCATTTTCAAAATACGGTCCGTTGCCAATAGGCTCAAACGCACCGTTATCCCAGTTGGGACTAGTATCATTCAAATTGTCTGGCGTTGACAGAAGTCGTCTCCGGCGGTTGCCATTTTTTCTTGTGATAAGTTGGAAATCGTAATAATACCGCTGCCACTGTTTACTGTACTGAGGACCGGCCCGAAGGTTATACCCTTGGGGTGCAACATTCCATCCACGTAAGCCTTCCTTGGTTTGCGTTCCATGGCCAGTTAGCGTGTTGGTACCATAGACGGGTTTCGAGAGGAATGGCGTAGGAAACGCTTCTGCCTGCCCAAGGCTCCATTCCAGTTTGCCAAGAGAATGGTTGCCAATTATCTGGGACTGACCAAGTACCTACGAATGTAAAACTAGAATGTAGGAATAATGGTATATTGGATAAATGAAGACTTTAAAAACAAACCTACAGACAAATGAGTAACAAAAATATGGAACGAGATTGGTAGTCCAGATTGTTTTTGTGAGGTGGCAAAACATACTTTTTATCGCATTGGATTTTGCCAAAAGGGTCCAAAAATGACTTAAGATATGCCCCAGCGATTTCAGTCGAATGTAGATATGCTATGGTCCTGGTAAAAGTCAAAGAAATTTAGAAAAGAACATGCACCATATCCAATTTGTTGTACAGAGAACGCTCAGCAAGAAAATTAATGAAAATGTAGATCCAGAGAGAGTTTAAATAGAAATACAACAGGCTAATCACCATAAAAAAGGAAATTAAGTATGGATGTTAAAATCATGGGGGGGGGGGGGGGGGCTGCACCGCTAACGTATCAATCTTCAAGAAACCGCAGGGAAGGCGTGCGGCAACTGCACTGAGACCAAAAAGGGCACCGTACGAATTTTTTAAACGACTAACTCTACCTGAGGTGAAAGTCATCTCGGAGTAACGGCACAGTACCCGCAAATAATGTGAAAAAAAAAATACTCGCCGTAGGCACTTACGATGTGATAAAAAAAACCCTTAAATATCGTAATATATCAATTCACGACGTCAGTGGTAACCTAGGCTAAATTAGAGAAAAAATAATTATGAACTGAAAGGCAGGCACACACACATACACACACACACACACACACACAAAACTGAATTGTCAAACTTCCTCCTCTGCTCTGACCAGTGTCAAGATGCAGATAAGAGGGGATTACGAAACCCGCATCAGTGATTTAACGCAGATTTTCTTTTTTAACTCAGAAAATGGTCCCTCATACATACAGTGTCAGTAGGCGACAAGACAATACATTAACACATGACAGTGCATTATAACTCTTGGTTGGTCACTGTACTGATTAAAAAAAACTAGCTAATCTGATTAACGATTTTTAAATCCTT